GGGGGGGGGGGATATGTCTGGAGGTCGCACATTCAGCGCTGAGGCGAACTTTTCCAGGTTATCCTTCTCGGGGGTGATGTTCGCCGGGCAGGGCACATAGAGGTACATGTGGAAGTGGTGCACGAACACCAGGACGCTGTTGCCGGCCTGCGGAGAAGAGGACCGAACAGGACAGAGGGGTCAGAAGGCGCAAGAGCACAGGAAGAATCCACACGGCCAACGCACCTCGGTGATGCCGAAGAACCGCACCAGGGGATTGCCCTCGTTGTCGACCGTGTGGTCGGCATCCATTTGCATGAGGACTGAGGAGGATCGACGGGGGGGCGGGGGGTGTCAGCACCAGCTGCAGGGGGTGGGCCATGGGGCAGGCTGCATGCGCACTCAGGGAGTCCTTATCCGGGTTGAGGGCGCCCTCCGTGACGGCCGGCCGCTCCCACTCCTTCAGCTCCTTGGTGAAGGTGTGGCCGGTGAGCGGGGTGTTCGGTGCATGCTCAGCTAGGCCACACGGGTTGGCGGGCAAGGAAAGGGGAGACGGGGAGACGGGGAGAGGAACGCCATGGGAAAATGGCCACCGTTAGTGTCCGAGCGGCAGCATGGGCACGGGCGCCGCGGGCGGGCGCACTTTTGATGATCTTCGACGCCGGCGTCTGGGGCACGCCGGCCTCCTCGGTCGAGGGGCGCTTCTTGGACATCGCAAGATGGGTGCCGGGAGAGGGGAGATGGGGGGGGGGGGACAGCGATCGGGGCGAGTGCGCAGCCGGGCGGAGGGGGGAGCGGGGCGGGGGGGAGGGGAGGGGAGGGGGCGGAAATGCTGCAGTGGGCCCCCCGGTCGAAGCCCCCGGGTCATCGAGATTGGCCGCCGAAAAAGGGCGACAAAACTGCCCGGGCTAGAGCCGCAGTGGCGCCCGTCGCCGGCCGTTGGCATCGCAGCGATCCGGGCAACGCAGGAGCGGGGGGCGGGGGGGGACGCGTGCCCGACAACGGTGGCGGAGATCGCCTCCAGGCGCCCCGTGTCCTGCGTTGCCCCCCCCCCCCTCCCTGTGCCCGCGCCCCCGGCACCGCTTCCGGGGGCGCGGGCGCAACGGGAGATTCAAATAAAAGCTATCCGATGACACGTGATCCTCCCGGGTGTCAGCCCGTCAGCCCCTTTCGCAGCTCCGTCCGCCTCTGGCGGGGCCGAGCGCCGGAGAGACGGCGGCCGGCGGGGGGGGGAGGGGGGGCAACAGGCGGGGCGTTTGTCCGCGGATGTGTCTGCGATATTGGCGCACGGGCTATCCCGCGCTTCCGGCCTCCCCTGCCGGGCCCCCTGGGGTCCGATTGTTTCGCCGGGGGGGGGGGGGGGGGCGGACAAGTGCTCGACGGGGGATCTCTGCTCTATTTGTTTCTTCCCCCGCCCCTCCGGCCTTGCACTTTTCCCGCAACCGGATCCTGCAGGCAGGGCGCCCCTCCTGGCGGCGGGGGGCGGGGGTGGCGGGCGCGCCCGGACCCCCTCAATGCGCCCTTTCTCAAGGGGGACCGCCCGGCCAGGGTGAGCTCATCCGGCACCACACCTTCCAAGGCATCGCCTCCTTCCCTTCCGCTTCCCCCTTCTGAGCTCTGCCCTCGCCGCGCCGTCTCCCCTTTTCCTCCTTGTGTGTTTTGCCGGCTGAACGTGCCTCCTCTGCGTCCTGTCCCGCGCTTTGTGCTCCGTACTGACGCCCTCCCTGCTTGCTCTTGTCTTTTTGCGTCTATTCCCGCCGGTGCGCCTCCTGCCGGCCGCAGTCCGAATCATGGTACGCCCATCCCTCCCAAGCGGGTCCCCTATGGCCCTCCCCACATGCATCCGCGATGATGGCTCCTGGCCATGTTCTCACCTGCCTGCCTCTCCCGCACCCGCTCAGTCCTCCTCCAACAAGGCTGTCCGCAATGCCGCCGGCAAGCGCATCCTCTCTCGCAATGAGGTCAAGAAGACCAGCAAGAAGCAGAGCCTGACGCCTCAGCTGGCTACCGGCGTTGTGATCGCCATCCTGGTCCTCCTGCTGAGCTCCTGTGCGTTTTCACTGGTGTTGCCCCCGGGCGCCGGGGGGAGGGGGGGTCCAGTCTGCCATGCCTCTTAACGGCAAAGTGCCACACCGCCACTAACATGTCTTTCCCCTGCCCGGTCACCTCCCCTGGGCATGTAGCCATCATTCAGATGTTCCCCCAGTAGATGGCCGTCGTGTTGGGGGGAAAGACAGCCCCCCGGTGTCAGCTTCCTCGGCTGAAACACGGCCCCCGGCGCTGCTCGGCGCTGACGATCGCACATGCGCACGCACAATATGAGGTGAATAAATGGTAAAATAAGCACGACCACAGGTGCACGAGGAGAACAGGGGCTTGGAGTGTGTTTGTTCATTTGAAGGGGGCGACCATCATTTCAGGAAGGACAGGAGGAGGGAGAGGCGCACGCGGCCGGTCGCACAAGTGCCATGGCATCCGTGCGCGAGCATACTTCGGGCCCCGGGCCGGCCGCCCACCATCCCCTCGCGTCCCAGGTGGCCGGGAGCCAATGCGCCTGGCAGGCCAGGCCGGGAGGGGGGGGCGGGGGGAGATTGTGGGGGGCCGGGGAGGAATAAAAAGACAGGGAGGGGAGACTATGAATACATGGAGAGGGAGAAAAGGGGCGGCCAGAGACATCCGGCGGGACAGGGAGGGAAGCCGAGCGGCGACAGCCGCATTGCTCGCTCAATCGGTGCGAGTCTTGATCGTGCGAGTGATCAACTCGGTGGGGGTGCTGTGGGGGCCGGGGG